AGCCCCTTCAATCCCTCCCTCCCAGCCAGTCCTACAGAGAGGAACAGACCCCAGGAACAACTAAACCTCCTCCAATATCTCCTCCCTCTCAGCCACTCCTATAGAGAAGAAGAGACCCCAGGAACAACTAAATCTCTTCCAATACCTCCTCCCTCTCAGCCACTCATGCAGGGAGGAACATCCCCCAGGACAAACAAATCCCTGAGCTAATCCAATACCTCTCTCTCAACCACAGACCCCAGGAACAACTAAACCCCTGAGCTCCTCCAATATCTCCCTCAGCCACTCGTACAGCGAGGAACAGACCCCAGGACAACCAAACCCCTCTCAATGCCAAACCCCAGGGCGTTCCCAGGAAGGACCAGGAGGGACATGAAGATGCCAGGAGGGACACAAGGATCCCAGGAGGGACATGAAGATCCCAGGAGGGACACGAGGATCCCAGGAGGGACATGAAGATCCCAGGAGGGACACGAGGATCGCAGGAGGGACACGAAGATCCCAGGAGGGACACGAGGATCCCAGGAGGGACACGAGGATCGCAGGAGGGACACGAAGATCCCAGGAGGGACACGAAGGGCCAGGAGGGACACGAGGATCCCAGGAGGGACACGAGGATCGCAGGAGGGACACGAAGATCCCAGGAGGGACACGAAGGGCCAGGAGGGACACGAGGATCCCAGGAGGGACACGAGGATCGCAGGAGGGACACGAAGATCCCAGGAGGGACACGAGGGACCAGGACACGAGGATCGCAGGAGGGACACGAGGATCCCAAGAGGGACACGAGGATCCAGGAGGGACACGAGGATCCAGGTGTGCAGGCAGAGCTGGCAGAGCCGCACGCGTTCCCAGGGACCGGGACACCCTTCCCAGCGGTACCGAAGCTGTTGCTCTTTGCTCGCATCCTGCTCCAGCGCGTGGAAATCCACGGAGAGCAGCGCCACGATGGAGTTAACCGCCTCGACCCCCGAGAGCAAGCGCAGGATGAGCTTCTTGTCCTGCGCCCAGCCCTGGCTCTGGTCGGCGGGAGCGCACAGCGCCATGCGCACCAGGCAGGGCAGCAGCAGCCGCAGCTCGGGGGCACTGAGCGCGGCCCGGCGAACCACGGCCACTCGAAGGCGTAAGGGCTGAGGAACTGCAGCCCCGAGCACTCGGCCATGGCTCCAGCGCCCGCTCTGCCTTCCGGGGCGGGAGGGAAACGGCGTCAGCGGAGGGAGGGGAGAGAGAACGGGAGGGGAAAGGGAACGGGAGGAGGAGGCTAAAGAGGGGAACGGGCAGAGCAAGGGAACAGGAGAGGCAGAGGAAGGAGAAGGATGGGGGAGAGGGAAGGATGATGGGGAAGAAGGCAGAGGGGAGAGGGAAAAAGGCAGAGAGGGGAAAAAGCAGAGGAAGGAGAGAAGGCTGAAGGAGGGAGCAGAAGGCTGAGGAGGGGGAAAAGGAGGGAATAGGCAGAGAGCAAAAAGGCAGAGGAAGGGAACAGGAACAGAGGAAGGGAAGAAGGCTGAGGAGGGGGAGAAGGATGAGAGGGAAGGGTGATGGGGGAAGAAGGCAGAGGGGAGAGGGAAAAGGCAGAGAGGAAAGGAAGAGCCAGAGAGAAAAAGGCAGAGGAAGGGAAGAGCCAGAGAGGAAGGGAAAAGACAGGAAGGGGAGAAGGCTGAAGGAGGGGGAGAAGGATGGGGAGAGGGAAGGATGATGGGGAAGAAGGGGAGGGGAAAAGGAATAAGGCAGAGAGGAAGGGAAAAGGCAGAGGAGAGAAGGCTGAAGGAGGGAGCAGAAGGCTGAGGAGGGGGAGAAGAATGAGGAGGGGAAAGGCAGGAAAGGAGTAAAGCAGAGAGGATGGGAACGGGCAGAGAGGAAAGGAAAAGGCAGAGAGGAAGGGAAAAGGCAAGGGAGATGGAGAGAAGGTTGAGGGTTAAGGGAGGGAGGAGGCTGAGGAGGGGGAAAAAGGCTGAGGAAAGGGGGGAAAAAGGCTGAGGAGGAAGAGAAGGCTAAAGAAGGGAGGGAGAAGGCTAAAGATGGGGAAGAAGGCTAAGGAGGAGGAAAAGGCTAAGGAGGATGTGAAGGTGTGGGGAGAGGAGGAATGCTGAGGAATGGGAGGAAGGCTGTAGGGGCAGCTCCCCCCCAATAAACCCACACCAAAATCAAGGCTTCATGAATAATTTATTCCATTTGAAATTTTTTTTTTTAAAAAGTATAAACCTTTTTTTTTTTCCTCATTTCCTCAATCACAATTTGTACAACTCAGTGTTTATGGCATTCGGCAGCAAATAGTGTTTGTTCCTTAAAATCACTTTGTTTTGTTTCTGTGTCTTGTCACCATAAATAACCACGGTGGCTCAGCCTGGGGCACGTGGTGGTGGTGGCTCTGTGGCTCCTTGGGGTGCCCAGTGGTGTTGGAAGGGTGGCAAAGCAGCTCCCTGGCACATCCAGCCGAGCTGGAGAGGGGTTGGAGCAGCTCCTGGACCTGTCCAGCCATACCAAAAGAGCACTGGAGCAGCTCCTTGGTGCATCCAGCTGTGTTGGAGGGGTGTTGGAGCAGCTCCCGGACCTTCCAGCCGTGCCACAGGGATGGTAGAGCAGCTCCTGGACCTTCCAGTTGTGCCAGAGGGATGTGGAGCAGCTCCTGAATCTTCCAGCTGTGCCAGAGGGGTGTGGAGCAGCTCCTGGACCTTCCAGCTGTGGCAGAGAGATGTGGAGCAGCTCCTGGGCCTTCCAGCTGTGGCAGAGGGATGTGGAGCAGCTCCTGGACCTTCCAGCTGTGCCAGAGGGGTGGGCAGGGCACCATGTCCAGTCATGAGGCCACAGGTTGTGTCATCCCAACCCAGAGCTCAGCAAGGTCCTCATGTCCAGTTGACTTGGAATAAAATCTAAAGCTTGATGAGTAAAGTCCTGAAAAAGTGACCCTGAGGATTGTGGTCGGTCCCAAATCCAGTTTTGCTGTAAATTAAGCTTTACTCCACTGAAAATAAAAAGTACACCCACAAATAATAATAATAATAGTAATAAAAAAAACCTGGAAGTAGGAAGCAGAGTCCTGGGTCCTTTAAAAACAACCGACATAGAACAAAACCACCTTCCCAGCTGGAGGTTGTGAGACAGGAACATTGTACAATGTCACCCAATGAACAGATTCTCCAGAGACACTCAGATCAAGACAAGGTTGATGCAGCATCACTACCCCAACAGACTGATATGCAGTGCCCATACTGTTGTGCAGCAAATCATATGGTGCAGTAGCATTTTTTTACTCTTATTTCTGAAAATAATGCAACATAATGTTTTTGATATTACAGTATTAACACATAGTGCTTGATTAAAGACATCTGCAAGTCTTCAGAGCAACACACCGAGCTCAAATTACCATCAGAGGTAAACACAGAGGTACAACAATCTGTGCCAGAACTGACGGCGAAGCGAGAACAGAGCTGAGGATTTCAGCATCAATTCATCTACCTTTAGTTCTTCCAGAGAATGTTAGAGAGATCTAAAATGTTACAGCTCCTTCAAGGGTTGTTCCCAAGTACAGCTGTGGCCTTGCTGGTCTGGCAACAGGGTAACCAGAAACCTAATTCAAATAGTAGTGAGGCAAAGGCTTAAATACAGTACTATCTAGCTTAAAAATCCATAGTTTTACTTGGAATGAAGCACCTCGGATTCTTCTTTCATTGCAGGAGGTAAACCAACAGCTACTTAAAGCCCTGCCAGGAACAGTTTTTGCAAGACCATTTGGAAAAGCTACAGCTGAAAGTTGCAACTGTTTAAAGCTTGTACTTGGCTAAACAACCCAATTTTCTTTATGAGCCAGCGATGAAAAGAGTCAAATGAAAGCAGCTGACAAATCAAGTGTGCCCAATGCAGCCACTGGCAGGTCTGATAGGCACTGCAGGCTGCAGCACTCCAGAAATGGCCCTGCTCATCTTTCATAGTGGTTAGAACATTATCACTTCATTTACTTGTGCTGGGGGCAGGGGCAAGTGGCAGTTTTCACAGCAGGAGGGTTTCACAGGGAAGTCTGTGGTGCAGGTAACAGAACAGCTACACCAGCAGAGTCACTTACCTTGAGGGACACAAGTCAGACTGAACACACACAGAGCCACACCAAACCCAGGACTTGGGGAGCTGAGCCAGGGGTGCAAATCACCACTTAGCAACAAAAGGACATAAAACTTGGAAAATTCCAGTTTTAGGAGCACTTTTCCCCTTCCAAACTCTCAGCCCAATGAGAACAGAACGTTCTGTAGGACAACCCAGTGCTGTGTTCCCAGAGAAAGCCACGGCCAGACCCAGGTTGGAACTCTGTTTATCAAAATCTGCTAACTTCTGATTGCACTCGTGTGGTTCTGAAGAAATGACTGAAGATTTCCATCACCAATTGTACAACTCCTTTATACAAAAACCCCCAAAATAAAAGTAGCTCATAGATTGTATGTACACAATTGGGTGAGACTGTTCATACCTCCCTGGACAGGGAGTTTGCATTGAGGAAATGAACACAGCAAGTTTGGTAAAATGCAAGCAAATTTCTTCCTTGGAGAGGATTAACAGCAGGTGCACAACATGGATCTTAAAACTTGCTCCTTTACAGGTTCAAAGCAGTGAGACAGACAGCATTAAGACCCAGGACATGGGTTATGGCCACAGGCTCGGTGAGCACTGCAGGACTTCAGCTTTTCATCTGGCAGTCAGATAAGGAACCCAGAAAAAGCATCTGGAGCTGCTCCTCAGCACCCGTAGGGGCTATTTTAGAGCAGACTCAGACATTTGGCATGTGCTAGGAAAAAAGGAAGGAAACTACTGAGGAAAAAATGGTGACTGGAGAGAGAGGGAGACATTTAGCAAAGCCTTGTGGTTTGTCAGTCCCTTCCTTAGGGAGGGTTAAGCCTCCTTGGCACATGCCCCAAGCCAGAGCCTGAAAATGGGAGATGGGGAAGGCCACACACTGGTACCTGGGACCTTCTCCACAGTGCCAAAAGGACATGAGAAAGGAAAATGTTCAGGGTTTCGTGCTGTTTGTTTGGGTTTTTTTTAACTAGTGGAATCAAATCTGAATACCAGAATTCACTGAGGAGCTATATACACCACATTTTAGTTAAACACACACCAATCTTAAAGTCAAGATTGACTCTTTTTTGCATTTGTAAAATGGCTAGAGCTGGGCTAAATTTCAGCCTGAACAGGAGACACTTTGGATAAGGTCAAGAGTTTTCTGCGTGTTCCACCTCAGATTTGCATTTTATCACAAAGGTGGAAGCAAACAATGCAGTCAGCACAGTGCCAAGAACATCCAGGGAACAAGGATGCACAAATAGATACTCCTGGAATATTCAGCCTCGTGTCCTGGAAATCCATCTGAGAATCTAGCCACAGCCCTGAACCATAACACAAACTTCAGGTGAAGAGAGTTTATTCATTTTATTCTCACTACAAGTTAAACCACCTACAATATCACTTATATATTGCCATTGTTACTCTGTAAAGGTGTGATATAAAATGCTGTAAGACCCAGTACCTTTGCAATTTATATAAACACAGTGAACTTCATTACTGTACATGTACTCTGCAACTACAGCTTAGCTGTAAATCCCCCACACACAATGGTATGGACATTAACCCCTCTATCCCCATTAAACTGTACATCAAGACAATACAAATTGACTGTCCCCACCCCACCCCCTTACAAAAAAATAATACTCTAAAAGCAACCTACTGCAACTTTTAATTAAGACGATTACATATATTTTAGACCAATTGCTTTAAAGCAAGAAGGCAGTATAAACCTTCTAGGAAAATTTTTATAAAAGAGGTTAAGAAATATAAGACAATTTATACATTTAAAAACTTACAATAAATAAGAGATGCAGGCATTTTTGAATACTAGGTACTATAATCCAATACAAGAACATCTTGATGTTCTGAAGCCATAGGTTGAAACTTATTGTTCCTCGGGTTTCTTCTCATCTCCATGCTCTGAAAATTCATTTCACCATGACTGGGTACTATGGCTCATTACTCTTCACAAATACTGCGGCTGGGGAAAAAAATGGTTAATTTTTGCTACTAAAAATGTTATCATACACTTTCTGATCCTCGTTCTAAAGTGTCCCCCACGGTCCAGGACTCCAGGACAGCAGGGCAGTGATTGCCCCTCACAAGTCACAC